TGGGCACATCTGGGAAAGGCTGGAGCAAGTCTGGCCCTGCCCACCCTGCAGCCCCTCTGCTCCAGGACTACGTATGGCTCCTGGGCCTGTGAGCTACCTCCAGCTCCATCCACACCACCTGTCCCAACTCCATGTCCAAGTCTCAGTCCCTCTGTCCCCATCATCTGGGCACCGGCCTCACAGACGACCATTTTGTGCGTTTCCTAAACCCTGTCCCACATTCCCTTACACAACTACCTGTGTGTGTGTGTTTTCTTTCCCTGCCTCACCCAAAGGCTCTTGCTAAATGCAGCACCCACATGTCAACACAGCACCCACAAGTGAATGCAGCACCCCCAGGTGAACCAGAGCCCACAGGTAGACACAGTGCCTGCAGGTGAACACAGCGCCCGCAGGTGAACGCAAAGCTCACAGGTAGACACCGTGCTCACAGGTAGACATAGTGCTCACAGGTGAACGCAGCGCCTGCAGGTGAACGCAGAGCCCTCATGGTAACCCGGTGCCCTCACATACCGCCCCCACTGCTTGCCTTGTCCACTTATAAGGAGCCTTCTTCTTGCAAAGATTAACCAGGGTTCTCAGTCAGGTCAGCTGACCACTCTGCACAGCCCAGGGGGTGCTTGGTTTTGGGCCCCTTTCCCCCAGGGAACAGAGCTGGACCAGGATTCCCAGAGGACAAACGGAGGCAGGGGGCAGGTAGACAGCTTACAAAATCACAAAAAGCAGGTGGCTCTTGCCTACCTCACCCAGTGCCCCGACCAGGACGACCCTGAGACCCGTCTCTGCAGTGGCCTCCTGCTCCCCTCCCGGGTCCGTTGTTCTCCTGGCTGGCCATGGCCTCCTCTCCTGCCAGTTCGTAGGCCACACCACAGCCTCAGTCACCCCTTGGGTTTCCTTGGGATCGACCCACAGCACAGCCCTCAGTCCTGCAAGAGACCTCAGAGCTTGGAACAGGTCCAAGTTCAGTGTCTGGGTTACCTCACCCAGTCCAGGACCCTTGACCTCTGCTCTCTTTTCTATAAAAACTCCCCAGAAGATGGCTCCATCCTCTATGTGGCCCCATCCGCCCCCTGCACCAGGACCTATCAGAACCCTGTCCAGCCTGCTGTGCCCTTGCATCCCACCTGGAGTAGCTGGTACCTCACTTCCCGCTCCATAGATGCTGTCCTTGGTTTACTGGGTTGATTTCTCCTCCCTGCTGGCCGCAGTGGTCCCATGGGTGCACGGCTATTTGAATACATTTGAGGTCCCGCAGCCATGTCACACATAGCACTCCAAGGTCATACTCTCAGTTCCCAGCATACACACAGGCTCGCCCATCTCCCGGGGCCTCCCACTGGCCCAGAAGCATTGGGGGCTGGCTCTTCTCCTGACCCCATTGCTTACTCCATCATTAGGGATCTTAGCACTCCCCACTCCCTACCCCCTGCTCCCCCTGAGCTCCTAATGACTGACTTTCAAGCTTGTCTCCCAGCCCTGGCCCTGCCTGGCCTCTCCTGGTCCTCTACACCACCCAGGCATCCCTGCTGCCCCTGAACTGGACTGTAGGGCCTCTGTGTTTCCTGGTCGCCCACTCTGAAACACTGTGCCCACAGATACCCACAGTCTACCACAGCCCTGCTTCTCAAAGGCCTCCAGACCCCCTACTTCAGTCTCCCACACTAGCATCTCCTCTCTTCTCTTCTTCAGTCCTCAGCTTGACTTTTCTGGGTAATTCCTGTCACCACTTGACATATTTTCCTTTGGCTCAGTGGGGCTGAGGCTTTGGGTAGACAAAAGCCCCCGACCAATCCTTGGTCTGTGCTGGGAGGCATCTGGCTGCAATCCCTGCCTCAAGCTTTGCAGGCTGGGCGGGACCTCTGCTCAGACCACCAGGCAGGTGTGTACAGTCTGCATTCTGCGCAGTGAATCACATCACGCCAACCCCCAGAGCCAGGCACAGCCAGCCAGGCAGAAAGCTCCAGCAAGTTCTGTGCCCTGAGCCTACGATACCAGTCTGAGCTGGGTCCTGGCTTGAGGCACATCTCAGGACCCCCATCCCATGCTGGTCCCCAGGGCAGGGCTGTGCAAAGGGTGTTGGAGGCCCCAGTCTAGGGCCTTGGGTGTGTGCACTTGAAGAGAAGAGATGACCGACCGATTCAGAGTGATGGGCTTTAGTGGGAAATGTGTAGGGTGGTGGCACTTCAGAATGATCCAGGTGCTCAGAGAAGCCCCCTCAATGAGGGGGACAGTGGAAGGGAGTCACCCAGTGGTGCGTGAGCCCAGATGGCACTGCTGCAGGGGTAGATAGGGCCCTGTGAGGCCCCACACCCGGGTGTCGATGGAGTCAGCCCCGCCCCCATGTCTTCCCTGAGAGCACTGACTACAGCTCTGTTGTCCAGGGGCCACTGAAGGAGGGATGTGGGAGGGACAGGAGGAGCTTGCTGGTGGGGGTGAGCCAGGGACCCAGCCCCAGCCCCTGCCTACCTCCCCTGGAACTCTCCTCAAATGTGACCTGCTCAAGGAGGGCTTTCTTCTCAGCTGTAGGGTCTCGGCACAAAGGTTGCCTCCTGGCCTCTCTGGGTAACACTGTCTGGAGCTGCCTTCTAATGGAATGCACACGCACGCACACATACCTGTGCACATGCATACAAATATACATGCACACGCATGCAGACACCTACAGACACACATCTGTGAACACACAAGCACACACACATGCAACACATCTACAAGGACACATATACATGCATGCAGACACATGCACACACGAGCATATTTGCACACACATGCGAACACACATGCCAGCAGGCACACTCACATCGTGCACACACGTTCATTAACACATCACCCAGATACAGCTTTTTTCTTATTCATCGCCTGTTTCTGCAGCTAGACCGTTAGCAGGGCAGGGCTTGTGGGTGCTGTATCTTTTGCACCTTGTATCGTCCCAACCACGTGCAGCGTGGAGAGGGAGCGCAATGAATGAGTCCCACTTTCAAGAAGCCTGTCTCCACTCAAACCTACTGTCCCTCAGGCTCTGCTGCCCTGACACAGGGCAGTAGCCTCCGGCCCTCTCACTTCCAATGGCCTAAGAGCGTTGATTGGTGTGTCAGGTATCTAGTGGGTGCCTACAAAGTACAGCGTGCCAGCTGGGTATCAGGATTCCTGGTGAGGGCTCAGATAATGTCCCCAGTGCCTTACTTCACAGAGCAGAAAACGGAGACCCAAGAGGGGTGGTGAGATGCCCAGGCAACTCAGCAAGGGAGCCGGAGGGAAGGAGGGCTCCAGGGTGCCCTCAGCCTGCTGGAGAGGGTGTGGGCTGGGAGGGATTCTCCATCTACCTGCTTTGGTGGGAGTGGGGTGTGATTAAAAGGCTCCTCCCCCCTCACTTCCCTAAGTGGGGTTTTCTAGGGCTGATAATCACTGTGGTTAATATTTCCTATTGGTGGTCACAGGCCCACAAGCCCCACCATCCCAGAGGAGGTCACGTTGGGGAAGAACTGCTCTTGGGTTGGGCTTTGCGCAAGGGGTGAGATAAAGGAGAACCCTGGGCGCGGGCGGGCGCGCGCACACATACAGACCCGCCCAGAGCCAGGGCGGTGCGGACGCCGCGCGCACAGTCTCTCCCAGAGCCGAGCGAATCCTAGCTCGGGGGCGGGCGCTGCTGGGGTTAAGGCGAAGCGTGATCCCTAAGGGTGGGGCGGGGACCCGTAGGGTGGAGGGAGCCTGGCCGCTGCTTTGGCGTTCCCTCTGGATTTGGTCCAAATACTGCGCTCCTTTGGTCCGACACCGGGTCCTCTCCCGCGGCGACGGCCCCAGGTCCCCTTCCTCTTCCTCCTGGCCCAGCGTGGGGCGAAAGGTGGCCGCCCGGCGCGGGGCGCATCCGGCGGCGCAGACGCCCCGCTGATCTGGGGAGGGACTTGGCCTGGGTTCTGCTGAAGCCCATCTGGGGAGGAGCCAGCCTCGAGGCCGCAGGCCAGGCGGGGCGGGGGTCTAGGAAAAGGGCCCAGCGGGGTGCTCATCTTGCCAGGGTTGGTAGCCACCGGGCTCACCGCCTACCCATTTCTAGATTCCTTCTGTCTTCTCCTTGGGAGCCGAGAGCAGAGGCGCCTTTTCCTCGCTAGCTCCGGGTTGCATAGGCCTCGCGGGCGCGGCCAAAGGGAGGAGAAAGAAGCGAGCGAGCGGGGCCGGCTGGGCCATGACTCTCGCCAGGGCCATGGCTCCGCCAATCCGCGCGCTCTGACGCGGGGGGCGGCTCCGCGGGTCGGAATATCTGCCTGCCGGGCTCGCGGGGGGCGCACCGAGGGGATCTGGCTTGCGGGAGCTGCTGTTCCAGGACGCGGCCGCTGCCGCTGCACCTGCCTGCCCCACGGCGCCCACCTCTAGCCTCCGGCCGGTCTTCTACTCCGCGGCCCCTCGCCCTCGTCCCTCCTCCCAGTCCCCGCCTCTCCGCCAAGCGTGACAGCGCCGAGCCCTGCCCCAGAGCTGCCCGAAGGAGCTGCCTCGCTCCGCCCGCCAGGAGCCCACGGCAGGGGCCGCACCGGTATCAGATCGCGCTTAGCCTCAGCCACCAGCCAGGCCAGCCGCGCCCCGTCCGGGGATGGGCAGCCGAGTCGGGTGCCCGCGCGCCTGATGAGCGCGGCCGCGGCCCCGGAGCTCCACTCCGGCCACTGCGTGCGCCCGGGCATCTCCCGGCTGCGTCCCCGGGCCCCTGGCCCTCCGTGCCCCGGGCCGCCGCCCCGAGCTCCGCGGACCAGGGACGCAGGGCCTGGCCGCTGAGGCCGCGGCTGATCCGAAGCCAAGAAGGGTCGGCCTTCGGGATGGCCCGGCGGGCGGGGGCTTCAGCGGCTGGCTCCTTCCACCGGGTCCAGGCCCCCGCGCCGCGCCGCAGCTGGTAGCTGTCCCAGCGCCGGATGGACTTTGACCCTCGAGGCGACGCCGCATCCGAGGGGAGCCGAGGCTAGAGGGGCGGGCGGCGCTCCGCTGGGGGCCAGACCCCAGGTCGCTCGCCTGCGGCCATGAAGATGATTCTGGTGCGCAGGTTCCGCGTGCTCATCCTGATGGTGTTCTTGGTGGCTTGCGCCCTGCACATCGTGCTGGACCTGCTGCCCAAGTTGGAGCGGCGTGCCACGCGGCCCCCGGGCGAGCCAGGCTGCTCGTGCGCACAGCCCGCGGCGGCTGAGGCGGCGGGACCCGACTGGGCCCAGGCGCGCGGCCGCCCCGGGGAGCCCCCGGCCGCTGCCGCTGAGCCCGGCTGGCCCAACAAACACACACTGCGTATTCTCCAGGACTTCAGCTCAGACCCTTCCTCCAACCTCACTTCCCACTCGCTGGAGAAGCTGCCGCCCGCGGCTGAGCCGGCCGAGGGCGCCTGGAGAGGGCGGGACCCCAGCTCCACACAGCCTCGCGACCCCGCGCACCGGCCGCTACTCCGAGACCACGGTCCGCGGATGTCGGCGCCTCCTCCGGGCCCCAGCGGGGATGGCTCCTTCTTGGCTAGGCTGTTTGAACACCCACTCTACCGGGTGGCCATCCCTCCGCTAACAGAGGACGACGTCCTGTTTAATGTCAATAGTGACATCAGGTTCAATCCCAAGGCAGCAGAGAGCCCAGACTGGTAAGTGGTGGGTTTGCTCTGTGATGGGGGCATGGGCTAGGTGAGTGTAGGCTGACCTGACCACGCACCCACCCTTTGAGGAAAAGATCAATCTGTGCTCCAGGTCCCCAGGGAACATCCTTGCACCCCAGCTGTGCAAACACCCCCAGGGGTGCAGGCACCCCCAGAGGACACGGACCCAGTGCTACAGACACTGCGCGAAGGCAGCTTTGTGGAGTGGGGCTGCCGCCTGGAGCGCAGGAGGACTCTGGTCCCTGCGTTGCTTTTGTCTCTGGTGGCTGGGAGCTTTTCTAGCTCCCGTAGGGTGACCAGTAAGAGGCCCTGCCCTGCAGGCCTGGCCACTGGCCTGGGAAGTGGGCTAGGTACTGAATCAGTGAGTCAGGAACGAGTGAGTGAGACAAAAGGGTGAGGGAGGCTTGGCAGTGCCAGCTGCCAAGGGGCAGAAGCTTTGTGTGAGATGGGCCGCAGGCTGGGCGCAGGGAGCCTGCCCCAGAACATGCCTTAAACCCTTCCCGGAAGGCTTTCCTTTCAGCCACCCGAGCAAGCAGCTGTAGCAACCCCAGTGGTGAAATATTAACTGCTGCCGAGGCCCGAGTCAGCCACCTACAAAAGGTCGCCCAAGCAAAGGGGCTGGGGGTGCAGTGGGAGGAGCAGGTCTCCAGAAGGACTCCTCAGAGCCCCCTCCCCCAGACGCGCCCAGGCCCCACACTTTCTGCCTCTCCAGGCTCTGTGGTTTGGCTCAAGCTTTGTCTGCTGCCCCAAACCAAACCCAAACTCCCTGCCATCGAGTCAGACCCAACTCATAGCGACCCCTCCTTGGGTTTCTGAGGTGGTATCTCTACAGAAGCAGATTGCCCAACCTTCCTTCCGAGGAGTGGCTGGTAGGTTTGAACTGCCAGCCTTCTGGATAGCAGTCAAGTGCCTTAGGCACTAGCCACCGGAGCTCCCGTCTGCTGCCCAGGCCCAAGGAAATGCTCAGTAATTTAAGAATCACAGCACTGGCCAGCCTGTACCCTCCCAGCAGTTAGTGACTGTGGCCTCTGGGAGGTGCCTGGTCACCCCTCGAGTCCTCTGCAGGACAGAGCTTCCCGGTGGATTAAAGCTCAGACAATTCCACTCTTTCCCCAGCCAGCAAACAGACGAGTGAGTCTGTCCAAACCAAGACTGACCCCTGACCCCGGGGATGTGCGGGCAGGCAAGTGGATGGCGCCCTGAGGCCTGGTCAGCATGAGGGCCTGCCTTGTCCTCTCTGCTCCCAGGGCTGCTCTAGTTAAAATTAAATTATGCCTCTCACATCACTCTGAGCTCTCGTCACTGGAACGAAGGCCCAGGGAAGGTTCCTGGAGGCCTGGGTGTGTCTGTCAGAGACCACTGCTCCTGCTCCCAGGACACTGGCAGTCTCGATGTCAGGTGGCTTAAAGGCCTGGTAGTCCCCCCGATGGGCTGGATTGGCACGTCACTCCAAGTTGCTTGGGCCTTCGGTACAGCTTCTCAGGGACATCTGTGGAGGGCAGCTAGGAACCATGGCCTCCAGGTGTGTTATTAGAGGGTAGGATAAGAGCCTTGAAGCAAAGTGTAAACACCGGCCTCTTGGATCTGCAAAGTCCGAACCTCACCTTAAGCCCCAGCCTCACGACCAGCCTGGTCCCCAGGCCCTCAGGGTCCAGGTGCTCTGTCTTTTCTGTGGACTTGATCATTTGAAGCTGAGCTTGTCTTTATTACCTTTGCCTCTTTCAGGCCACACGAAGGCAATGAAGGTGAATTCCCACCCACGGGTGGCACGGCTGTGGACACCTACCCCAACTGGCTGAAGTTCCACATCGGGATCAATCGTTATGAGCTCTACTCGCGACACAACCCCGCCATCGAGGCACTGCTGCATGATCTCGGCTCCCAGAAGATCACCAGTGTTGGTAAGTGCTGCTCACGGCTGCACATTGTTTGTCCGCGGCCCCGGGATGTCCACACTGCTCAGCGGTGCTGCCCACGGCTGCGGTGTCCATGCAGCTCTGCTCAGTGGCTCTGCTGTGGCCCCAGGATGCCCACAGTGCTTTGAGTCTCTGCCCATGGCTGGAGGTCCCCTCCAGGAGGCCTGTGCTATAGGCTTAAGGGCAAGGAGCCTGCCAGGCCAAGAAGAATGGTGACAGAGATGCTGTTGGCTGCTCCCTTTCTGCCACTGCAGAGAGAGAGAGAGACAGACAGAGAAAGACAGACAGGGAGACACAGACAGACAGAGAAGAGAGACAGAGACAGACAGACACAGAGAGAGAGACCAAAAGACACAGAGAGACTGAGGAGAGATGGAGAGAGACAGAGACAGAGAGACATGGAGTGAGAGAGACAGAGAGAGAGGGAAACAGACAGAGACAGACAGAGAAACAGAGACAGAGATAGGGACAGAGAGAGAGATGGAGAGAGAGAGATGGAGACAAAGAGAGACAGAGACACAGAGAGAGATAGAGACACAGAGAGAGACAGAATTAGAGTAGACAGAGAGACTGAGACAGAGACAGAGATACAGAGAGAGGCAGAGTAAGAGTAGACAGAGAGAGATGGAGAGAGACAGAGACAGGGAGACAGATGGAGAGAGAGTCAGAGAGAGAAGGAGAGAGACAGACTGGGGACTGCAGCTCCCCGCCCCTGCTGCACTGAATTGACTCCCACAGCTGGCCGGCAGGAGGGACTGAAAGGCCACAGGGAAAGGAGTAAGAAGGTACCTCATGGCTGCCCTCCCCATGGCCGTGGCCCCTCATGACTGTGCCCCCCAGCTGTGCCTCTCCTCCAATGGCTGCCCCCCATGGCTGTGTCCCCCCGTGGCCGTGCCTCTCCTCCCTCCCAATGGCTGCCCTCCCCATGGCTGGGACCCAGCATGGCCATGCCCCTCATGGCTTCGGCCCTCCCCCTCTCACAGAGGTGGCTGGTTCTGTGTTCTGAGCAGCCCCCTGCCTTGATGTGGGTGCTGTGTGGACCCCCTGGTGGCTCGGGGCAGCACTCGGTTACCTGCTGAGCCGGACGATCGCAGGGAACCGGGTCAGCAGCTCCAGGCTGCCAGTTAGTACCCAGAGATGGGGCTGGGCGGTGCTCCCTGGACCTTCACTCTGCAGCTGCAGGGTGGACAGGGGGGTGATCTTGACTCTGGGAGTTGACCTCCACAGGGGGAGGGTGGAGGAGAGGAGCCGGCATCCATCCTGGGTCCTAAATGCAGACTTCGTCACAGGGGTGGGGCAGGGAGGTGGCTGCTCTCTGCCTTGGTTTCCCTGTCTGCCAGTTGGGGGTCAGGCCAGCTCGGGAGGGTGGAGTAAGATGTCTGAAGTGAGCAAGCTTGTCCCATGTGAGCTGTCCTGTGCTTGCCATCCAACGAGGGGCAGAAGAGAGGACCTCACTCCTTTCCTGGCTGCTCTGGCCTGTCCCCTCACCAGGACAGGACAGTGGGCTCCAAGCTTCTAATGCTGTGCCCCCAGCATGGGTGTGACTTCCAGCCCCAAGGTGACTTTGGGCAGGTCCATGACCCTCTCAGAGCCCCAGACTCCTCCCTGGGATGGGGAGAGGGTGTGCTCTGGACCCCACAACCCTACTGCAAAGCCACACTGGAATCCACACAAAACTTGTGGCCGCAGGGTCAATGCGACCTGACTTAGAGGACAGGAGGTTGACGAGGTTGGTGACCATTTTAGTGTCCTCCCTGGAGTGGGTGCTCACAGCTCCTGTGCAGACGTGGAGGCGTGTGGCTGTGGGTTCTGCTCAGACCCCGCTCAGGGTGCCCACAGGTGTGAGATGTGCATCCCACGTGCACTCAGCACAGCCTGGAATACTCTAAAGCCCCAAGCATGTCCCTTGGGGTGTGAGGAAGTGGTTTGGGCCTTGGGCCACCTCCACAGAAACCTTCTGAAGCTTCCAGGTATAAGCAGAAATGGGCAGGAGGAAGCGCCTGGACAGGTGACGGTGGGGAGGCCCACGTCCAGCTGGTGCTGAGCGGTGTGGGGGCCTGTGCCGACCCACTCCTGGGTCCAGGTGTAAGCAGATGTGGGCATGAGGAAGTGCCTGGGCCGGTGACGGTGGGGAGGCATGTGCTGGGGGCCTGTGCCGTCCCACTCCTGGGTCCAGCTATATGGTATACATCTTCCTCAGAGAGTAGAACCTCATTACGCTGGAGTGGCCAGAGTAAAGTGAACCCAGGAATTCGGGCCCAGCTCTCCTTGTCTGAAAGGTACATAGGGAGGGTGGCTATTGGGTGCTTCCCCAAAGGCACCTCTTCCTGGTCCCCCACTCCTACCCAAGGCCACGGTTACTCTCCCAGGCCTTTTGGCTGTGGACAGCTGGCAGGGGTTTGAGGTGGTGGTCCATGCTGTGAGTCTAGCAGCTCCACTGGGCAAATGTGGAGACCTGTGTCCTTAGATTTGAGAGGTCTTGTGCCCAGTGGCCCTGTCCTTATCCCTGCTGTGTCCTGGAGCAGGATGGACAGCAGGGCCACTTTCTAAGGGACACATGGGAGCCTGGGATGGGCAGCCCCCTTTAAGGAGCCCTGAGCATCTCCAGGGATTGAGAGTCCTGCTATGCCTACCAGGGCAGTTCCCTCTTTCAGGGTGTGAGGCAGACAAAAAGAAAGACCTGAAATCACAGTGACCCACAATGATGGTGTTCAAAATGAAGAGCTCCGATTTTTGGAGCTGGAGAAGGATCCAAAAGTCAGCCTGGCCTCCCAGCCGTGTTGATGACAGGGACGCTGGGCCTCCTGGCAGTCCTCTTGGCCGCTGGGGGCCGCTGGGGGCTGTTTTAACTCCCCCCTTACTCATCTCGCCATTAAACCGCAGCCCAGAAAGACTGCTGTAGTGGGGAAGCATTCCTATGAGGTTCTCCAGCCCCCCTGAGCCTCCTTGCTCACAGGCACTTGATCACATTTGTGGCACTTGCTGGCACACAGCATGGCTGGTCTGGGCAGCGGTGGTTTGTTTTTAGCTGGACTCTGCTGCCTGGTAACGGCAGGGATGTTGTCCGGTTCTATTCTGCTTGAGCTCATGTGTGCGAGACCTTGGTGGGTCACACTCCAGTCTCCGTCATGAACAATTGTGGGTGCAAAGAGGAGGCTGCAGGACGCACAGTCTGACCTTGGGGTCACTCAGAAAGGGGGAGCAGTCATTGTGTGCACAGGCATGGGGCAGCCTGTGGCCGGAATCAGGTCTCCCCGATCAGGTCTGGAGTTGAAGGCTGAACAAAGGGAACCGGCTCTGCAGGACAGAAGTTCCAACACTCATGGGTCTTTGGGGGACACCGAGCCATATCAGCACTAATTGCCTTGCAGCCTGGAGGAACAAAGAGACCTGGAGCTATGGCTGCCCACGTGTGGAGCCACCGGGGATGGGGGACTGGGCAGGGGCTGCCTCAGCAAATTAGAGGCAGGCTTCCTCAGGAGGCAGTTCCAGACCCAGAAAGACCATAGCATCTCCCCCCAGGTGGCATCAGCTACCAAGGTCATGGACCCCAGGATTGGCTGTTGGAGAGAAGGAGACACCATGACAAGGGCTGTGCTTTTAAGGTGCCCCCGTCTCAGGTCTCAGTGCCTCTGATGAAGGTTAGAGCTATCTCCCAGGCTGGCACACCCTGGTGCCATCCCTTGAGCCCCCGAGGCCCTGGGCAGCCCCACTCCCACTGGGACCTTGTTCTGGGGTCCATGTTGATGTTCTCAGGAAGGACGCTGGTTTCCCTCGGGGCTGTGTTGCAGCTCCTTTTAAGTAAAGGCGACTTTCAAAATGAAAGCGAGCTGCTCTAACGAAAAGCACAGACTAGCAGCCTGCAAGCTGGAGACCAACCCACTGAAACCCACTGCCCTGGAGTTGATCCCAACCCACAGCGCCCCTAGAGGACAGAGTGGAACTGCCCCAGAGGGTTTCCAAAGCTGTCAGTCTTCAAGGAAGCAAAGCCCAAACCACACCCACTGCTGTGAGTGGATTCTGACCCACAGCGCCCCTAGAAGACAGAGTGGAACTGCCCCATGGGGTTTCCAAGGCTGTCAGTCTTCACACAAGCAGATAGCCTCCCACAGAGGGACTAGTGGATTCAAACTGCTGACCTTTCGGTTAGCAGGCAAATGCTTTAACCACTGTGCCTCCAGCTGGAGGCAGTCACGGCGGAATTCCAGAAAGCTGGCTGGAGTCTGAGTGGCAGGAATCTGCTGGGCCTCCTGGGGTCAGGCCTTTGCTGGGGTGGCAGGTCCAGGGCTGGAGGCTCGTAGGGTACTCCAGGAGGGCCCGGTCTGGCATTCTGTGATCCCGGGCCAGCCACTGGGCACCCTACACCCTCTCTCCAGGCACCTGGGAGCCTGTCTGAGTGTCCTGGGGCAGCCATCACAAAGGACCACAGGCTGGTGGCCGGAAACAACAGAGGTTCCTTCTCTCTCCGTGTTGGAAGCCAGATGTCCAAGGTCAAGGTGTCAGCAGGCCACACTCCCTCTGAAGCCTCCAGGGGAGGAGCTTTCCTGGTCTCTCCTGGCTTCGGCGGCCCAGGCGTTCTTGGGCTCGTAGATGCATTGTCACACGCCACCTTCCCTCTGTCCGTATATGCCTCTTCTCCTCTTTTATAACGACGCTGCTCAGATGGGGTCAGGACCTGCCCTGCTCCAACGTGGTCTCAGGTAACAGATACCATCTGCAGAGACCCAGTTTCAAACAAGTCGGGTTCACAGGCACCAGGGCTAGGACTTGAACATACAGGCAGACCTCGTTTTATGGTGCTTTGTTAGGGTGCTTTGCAGATTCCGGCGTGTTTTTTTTCCCAACATATTGACGCTGTGCTGAGCACCTCTGTCAGCACCATTTTTCCAACAGTGCATGCTGACTTCATGTCTCTGCGTCCCATTTTGGTCATTCTCACAGTATTTCAGTTTTCATCATGCATTTGCACATGTGATAGACTGCGG